CAGGGTCGTGCATTTTTTAGTTTTGTTCGAGGGTGACGTTGCGCAATTTCACTGAGAGCTTTCCAGCATGTCGGTCGAAAAAGTGGTAAGAGTGTGTAAGACTAATGTGACTGCTAGTTAAATTTATCGCCGTCGACACGCGCCTCCTCCGAAACCCCGAGCGGTATTAATATGACAGGCGCGTTGAGTTTATTACGTGCGCATGAGGCTTAAATAGTTTTTTATAGATATAAAAAGCGAAGAATGCAGGCCACCAAAATATCAGCATCCGGAAGCCTGTTTATTTTTAAACATTTTTTTTTCTTCGAAATTTTAAATTTAGTAAATTTAACCATTAATTAAATAAATCACAAATGCACAATGCAGCACGATAAACACTGAACGCAATGAACATAAAGTAGCTCGTGCTCACGATGTTACCATAGCGTCTACCGGTAGTTTAGTTATGTCTTGGAGGTCTTTGGGTACTTTCAGGTTTCTCCTGCGCACGAGACGCACGCCGCACACAATTTATGCAGCAACAATTTATTTTTAGCTCGTGCTCTACTAGCGAGAACCTCCATTGACTAAGCAGAGTCATGGACTGCGCCAAATAATAAACCAAATGCAGCAGCAGCACCAGCAGCAGACGAAAATTCGTGTTTCTCTTCCTGCTTTGCTCGTAAACTCAACTTTTTAGAATACACAACAAAATACAAACAGTGATTGATCATTGGCCTTAAATTTCATACCAAAAATAACACCTAATTAATAATTTCCCACTTTGTTACTCTATATGTTAAATATACAGTTTAAACTTTTCCGTCTGCAGTGCAGTTTACTCGGCAAGAGGAAAAGTTAGTTAAAAGTTTTGCGCATACAACCCAAGTCAAGTCTGGTGTTATAATCAACTCGGGTGCAACGTGCAACGCCCGACATTGAGTGAAATAAGATCCGCATACTTTCCACCTTTTCACAGCACGTTTCCCTTCGCCGCTGACAGGTTGCCACGAAACTAAATTAATTTATGTTGATTACATCTTGTTCCTAAATTTAGAGGTTAGGTTTGTATCCGTTTAAAAACAAAAATCAATTTTTAATTTTATTTTTCTTCGTTGTGAGTGAATTAAAGCGTGAATGTTTAAATATACGTGAAGGAGACTTATATATAGGAAAGCCATTAGATACGGCTGTAATCCCTCCAAACGAGTATCCAATTAAAATTAATTTAGGCCGGTTATACCTTCCAGTTTACTTCTTTAATCCCTGCTCTGGCAGACTGACAACTTTGCTCTAGTTCTACTTAAAAGTATTTTTCCGTTAATTCTGCTAATTTAATTAATTAGACTTCAATTTATTTCTACGTTTAAAATATCTATAATGTAAAAATGAATCGCAAAATCTGTTTGTAAGCGCATAGCTCAACAACACATGGATTAATTTGGCCAATTCTTTTTTTAAATGTGTGTTAAAGTCCAAGGATGGTTTTTACGACGAGAAAAATTCGAATAATTGCCGGGAAAACCCTAAAGACAGCTTTTTTCTGTAGGATAAGTTGTCATTGAGATTCAGTCTTAGTTATAGTTAAATAGTTGAATCCGAGATGGCGCGCTGAAATGCATTATTAGCAATTCTTTATAATTAATTTCTTTAAAATAAAATTGCTAATCTTATTGATAGAATTGAAACGTACTATGTCTAGAACAAGAGAGTAAAAACAAATTACATTTTTATTAAACACTACCGGGTCGAAATCGCGGGCAAAAGCTACTTTTATAATAAAAAAAGTTTTATCTTTGAAGCTAATTATCTCACGTAAATATTTACGTAATTTAAACAAAATTATTACCTTGATGCGTCTAACACGTGTTTAAGCTGATGAAGGCAAACATTAAACGAGAAAAACAACATGAAAGTGAAAGTGAATTTTCCACCGGTGTGGAATCGCTAGGGAAATTTCGCTCCGAGCGTCTTGCCATAGATTTTCCAGATTCGATGCGGCTGTAGAGAGAAACATGCGTAACACGCTGCTGTTCCTATTCCTCTGCCGCTTTCCTTATCGAATCGCTCCAGCATGAGTTTTTGCTCCGCGGGCCGTAATTCAAAGCGACTATCGCCCGAAGCTGCAATTCCACGTGGCGAAGGAGGGAAACTGCGTGCGCCATGTTGAATGGCAGACGCTGGAGAATAAGAAATTCATTGTATTGCACACCAGGAAAATACCTAGATATATTTAGGTACTCTATGTGTGTGTTAGTGTGTGAGTGTGCGCTGCCACTTTGTGGAGAATAAATTACGCACAAATTGGAGACGATGTGGGGACGCTGCGAGCTCAACGTGCGGCGGAGTAAAGTCGTAATTCGATTACTGATTACGTTGGTGAATTAGTGGCCAAGTGCCCATGGGAGACGGGGTCTAGCGCTAAACAATCAGAAAATCCTATGTACACGACGCAGGAAAATAACTATATATAGGAATCTGCTATGTTCGGTTCTTATACCGCAACTCAAACTATGGCTAAATATTTTTCAGCATACGATTGAAATCATAATAAACTTGATAAATGATGTTACAATGGAGCACACGAGGCGTATGTGTTTTCTTGCGGCACCCATTCGTTTCTCTAATGGTGTGTAATCAATCTAGCGTTCAATTTACGAACGGTTCAATTTAAACAAACAGATGTTTTCGCTCTGCGCTCTACTCGTACGTGTACACTAGTCGCAACTTGGTATTTTCAAATATATATCGCAGACGTGTGTTGCACTCGTATGTGCAAGAATAATAAATTGAGGCAACAATCACACACGGAAATGAAATAAACTGAGCGGATTATTGCAATATGTGATGTTTGCGATTTCTTGATGTTCTAATTATACTCTTGTTATTTTAGGATAAGATAAATAAGATTTGTGGTTTTGTTTTGTTTGCGCATCACTTTAGACAATATTAGGTCAAAGTTTTCTAAATATTGAACATGTATATGTTGGGTTTATTTATGCGTGTCATGTTCATTTGTTTCTTGAATAAATGTAGCAACCAGATGTAACGTGTTTGTTAATCTATAATATAAAAGTGAAGCGAAAATTCTGTTAGTAAGCGCATAACTCAACAACGTTTAGTTAAATTAGGCCAATTCTTTTTTTTAAATGTTCGTTAAAGTCCAAGGATGGTTTTTACGGCGAGAAAAATTTGAATAATTGCCGGAAAAACCCTAAAGACAGCCCTTTTCTATAGAATAAAAGTTGGCATTGAGATCCAATCATAGTTATAGTTAACTAGTTGAATCCGAGATGGCGCGTTGAAGTGCATTATTAGCAATTCTTTATATAATTAATTTCTTTAAAATAAAATTGCGAATCTTATTGATAGAATTGATACATACTATGTCTTGAACAAGAGAGTAAAAACAAATTACATTTTTATTAAACACTACCGGGACAAAGTCGCGGGCAAAAGCTAGTAATGAAATAAATTACAAAATTTACAAAAAAAAATTGAAAGCACTTTAAACTTTTAACTTTGGTATTTTCTCATTTGTGTCACTTTCACTAGAACAAAATGTACAATGGGGAAATTTGCGAAATGAGCAAATGTTTGCAAATTCAGCAAAATGTGTGAAATTTATTATAATTTGCTAATTACGCCCGAAAGTCGCCAGTTTTCAGCAAGTTAACTGTACAATGCGCTCAATTTCAGAAGTTTCTCTGCACTGTTTCGCTCCCCGCTTCGGCGTTAATTTAATGTATCACATTAGCAGCTCAACAGCGAGGAATGTGCTCGCGCTTTTCTCGTCTGTCTCATTTGTTTGTTTTCTGCATTTCCTTTTGGTATTTATGACCAATTATCCGGATTGTTTCAGGCGCACAAGCATTCAGACATTCAGACATTTGCAAATGCGTAAATTGTGTGAACAACATAAAAACAGATAAAAAACAAATTGAAACAAATAAAAATTAAATAAATTAATATCAAATATAATAAAAAAAACATTTGTTATACTAAAATAAATTTTTTCTCGAGAGAATTTCCTATTTTCACTTTTCCGTTTTCCGTTTCCGTGCGCCGAGTGTTAATTAACTAATGGCTGTTATTTACCCGCATCGTAATACCTTTATTTTCATTTACACTTCTTCTTTCATCTGGATCAGCGTGCGTGCGTTCAGCATCACGTCACGAAACTCGTTTTTCGGACTACGTCCAGCGTCCAAACATCCAAGCGGATGGAAAAAGTCGAGAAACTATACTTTACGAACACAATGAAGCACTTTTAGAGATTCGAGACTTCCAGCAGTTCTAGGACTAAGAGAAAGTGCAAAAAGGCGAGGAGGGCTTAGAGCAGACGACGGATACTCAGGAGATATACACCTGATACTTTTGTGCGGATGGATTTTTCTCATTTTCTCATCGCGAGACGCCTCAGTGAGCATCAGTAAAGAAGTGAGCATCAGGGATAAGAAGTAAAGAAGCCAATCAGAAAAATTATCCAGAAATAATTTCTATAGATTCCTATATATTTATTAATTTCATCCAGTGATGAAAAATTGTCGGTAAAATTCGAGAATTTTGTTGTAATGAAAAATATTTGAGGTTATTTTAAGCATTTCATCATTATATGACTAAAATACAGTCATGTTTCTTTTTAATAAGTGTTTATAAGCAAGAAAATGCTTGTTAAGTCTAAAAATAAACTGATTTTCAGTAAACTATTTTCATTTAGTGACGCTTAACCAACAATAAAGAGTTAATAGTTCAATTTCGGACTGCTCCAGTTTATAACCTAATAAAATCTTAAATCACCGACATGAATAAACGAACTCGACCAAATCCACATTGCAAAACACTTGTTAAACACCCAACCGCCAATTACAAGCAATTAACAGCATTAAATACCATTCAATTAAAAATTATTAAACATCAAAACCAAATATTAATTACATTGACACAGAATAAATACAAAAATATTAATTTTTATTATTTATTGCAATTTTAAACAATTTCACTTATTTTTTCTTAATTACCTGTACTATTGACTTTGTCTGTTTGCTGATATCATCAATAGATCCCTGCGAGGATCTCGGCCCACGAATACATCCAGGAAACATCTTCCTATCTTCTCTGCGCTATTCCAAAACCAGAAACATCAACAGCAGTACCAACAGCGTCGGCGATAATGATAATCCTTTCATATTAAAACAGATCCTTGATGCTATCACACACAACACTCTCGTCAAACTTTCACACCGCCGGAAATAAACGCGCGTCTTTGTTTCGCTAGATTAATTCGACGATAAGACTCCAAGTCTGGCTTTACACGTGTAAGTCGTCAATCCAAACTAATTGCACTCGATTATTCACTATAATAAATCATAAATTTATTATCATATCAAATATTTATTTAATACTAAATTATTGAATTGAAAATTTATGTGTTTTTAAACGCGTTGAATGTGTCTGCTGCTCACTATCCGAAATTAGTCTAATTTAATAATAGATATGGAAGTGCGCAAGATATGAGCGTTTGAAGTGTCTCGCGTGCATTGCGAAGATCAAACATCTTTCTGTTTGACAGCGTTCGGAAAGTCTATCGTCCAATTCGGGATGCGCACGAGTCGCGACTAAAAATACCTAAATGAGTCGACGGAATTAAATGCGCCAGAACAAACTGCAGAAACCGCTGAGCAAGAGAGTGAAATTGTGCAAGAGATGTAAAAAGATGCTAGAAACTTAAATAAGCCACCACCTACAACCCACCGGATATAATTTAAGCTAATAATTACAAAAATAAAAAATAAAAACAGGTTTTGTAAAAATTTAGTCAAAAAAATAAATAAAATTTATTTTATTTTTATGCAATATGTGTATAGTTAGTTTTAGTTATATACCCGTAATTAAAATGCATAGGGAGGTGAATTAGAAACAAGCGAAACAGGAAGAAACAAATATAAACACAAAACGCATTTTAAAGCATGCAGAATGTCGGATAGTTACAGGCAAATGCGGAATACAAAATGTTCTCGGAATGTCTGAATGCGAAATGAGGGTTGAAACTTTAATTACTGCATTACCATTTTACCTTCTAGTCTATTCTCTATTGTGCAAATAATATTTGTCTAGTTTAAAATGCAACTAACATTAAAAACAATTTTATTTTATTTTTATTTTTATTTTGCATTGCGATGTTAAAATTCAAGTCACAATAAAATCATTATGCTTTGAGACAATGCTGCGGGTCTAACTGTATGTTTGTGCAAATATTGAAACAGAAACTGATGCCGAAACAGAGCAATAAGGGTAAGGGTTACTAATTTAGCTGCCTCATCAATAATTCATCATTTTGTGACGTGCCTCCAGCAAACACTTCCAACTTTAATGAGTAAAAATATCTAACGTCACAAATATCTATAACAATTAACTAAACTGCCTCGGCTCCTCCACCATTTATATTTAGCACACTAAAACCAATCCAACGGATTCGTTTCTCGCCGATATCAATCGCTTCTCGGCTCGCAATAATAGACTTCGTTCGCGTGGCTTGGCGACATTAGAATTTGTTGAATTACGATTATTGCCGCTAACGCGCGAGGAGTAGGCCGGTTCGTTCCTCTTCCGAGTTTTATTAGCACGCGAAACGAAACGCAACGAATCGGTATCACGTGAAGGGAGAATTCGCGGCTCGTGAATGAGTAAAATGAGCAAAACGAGCGCACTACGAACAGAAAGAGGGCAGTTAACGTTAGTTATCGAGCGTTATCGCTCACTTAGTTACTTATATCAAGTTATAAGGAGCTACGGCACGATTTTATTGAGTTTAAGATGTTTATGAAGTACCCGAGCACACTTCCAAGAGACAATTGCTGCCATTACAAGTAATTAAACGTAATTAATCATAAATGAATAATTAACATCAGATAACTACAAAAATATTGCAAATTTTAACCAAAAAAGCATAAAATTTACAAAGTTTTTTTGATATGATAATAAATTTTAAATTTTTAATTACAGAGATAAGAAAATTACCAAGTTTTAAAAGTTTTCACTTAAAAACTCAAAAAATTAACACTTTCCGCACAAATTTTAATTTTTTACTTATTTCCATAAAACTTGCACTTGAATATTCAACACTAAATTTAAATTTAACAACAATCAACTAATTTAACTAATATTTCAACTGTATATTAAATATTATTTAATTTATTAATTTAAATTCGATTATGATGCTGATATTTTATTACGTATTAAATATATTTATTATGTCGATATCGAAAGGGGTTGGTATCACTTTGCGTTGGCGTAATAGTAATAGCCGTATCCGATTGCGAGTGGAGGCGGGCGTGCGTTTCGCGATCTCGCAGCGCGGCAGGAATCGCAGGAACGACGCGCGCACGACGCAGCGGCCGCGTTCATGGCGCTCGCGATACTGAAATTTCCGTGCGGACGTCGGAACGCACGAGCTTACTGCGAGCGTCGCGTCGCAGAACGCCCGGCGTCGTCGCAGGAGTTTATTTTGACCGTGAAAGCAAAATCAAGCTAAATTTATACACATATTCAAATATTACAAACGATTTTAAGTAAAATGCATTTTTAGGTTATAAAAAACATTAAATTGACATTTTATCATCTATAATTTAAAAATGAATCGCAAAATTTGTTTGTAAGCGCATAACTCAACAACGCCTAGACCAATTTGGTCAATTCTTTTTTTTAATGTTTGTTAATGTCCAAGGATGGTTTTTACGGCGAGAAAATTTCAAATAATTGCTGAGAAAACCCTAAAGACAGCCCTTTTCTACATGATAAAAGTTGGCATTGAGATTCAATCATAGTTATAGTTAAATAGTTGAATCCGAGATGACGCGCTGAAGTGCATTATTAGCTATTCTTTATATAATTAATTTCTTTAAAATAAAATTGCGAATCTTATTGATAGAATTGACACATACCATGTCTAGAACAAGAGAGTAAAAACTAATTACATTTTTATTAAACACTACCAGGACGAAGTCGTGGGCAAAAGCTAGTATATAATAATACTTTGGGTTGTAAAAAAGTTTCAAAACGGTCATGACCTTGAGTATTATGATTATTAGAAACTTTGAAAGCAACTAAAACCATTAAATATTAATAAAACAATGTAACGCTTAAGAAACTTGTCACAACTTCCTCACAAAACCCTTGTAATTATCAAATCAATAAAACAACCCTTAAAATACATCAAACCTTGAAAGTTTCAAATCATTTTCAGGTCCTCCATTTAAAAGCGTTTAATTTTAATGAGCGTCTTTCTCTGCTGACACTAATAACACCCTCAACTTGTAAAAGTACAAAAAACAACCCTAATAATTAATTTCTTCACATTTCCATTCACATTTTCATTGCTTACTACTTGCATTCTCGTTGGTATTTTGATTTTCATCATTTTCTGTTTTGTTATTCAATATTTTGATTGAGTTGTACGATACGGCCGACATTTCGACGATATTTAGGGGTCGCGGGCGCGATGCAGCCTCGAGGGCGCAACCGATGGTAATGAACGTACGAGGCATGAAAACGCTTCCAACTTTTAGTTATTATAGCGCCCATAGCGGTATAGTGCACACGTGGTTTGCATTTTCAGCGTGCGTATGCGTGAATGTTGAAAACGAGGGGAAACACCGACGAAAAATAGCCAAATTTACGGAGCTAGCGCACGGTAAATAACAAATCGTCGCTGATTTATCATCGCTTATCAATTTCATCATAATGAAATTATGAACAAATATGATTTTGGTGCTTTATTACGGCATGTGCTTGTAAATTTTGTGTTATAGAATAAAAAATGAAATTTATCAAAAAATCAGTTGCTTTTTATTTGTTTTGTCATTATTTCTGTTTGTTTAAGAGAGGGGCGTTTTATATTTATATTTTCATCGATATTTGTGTTTACATTTGCACATATGCCGATATATTTGTGTTTTTGGTATTTTTGAAAATAAGGGTGAGTTGAATATACAATATTTGCTTTTTGGAAGCATAAAATATTGCTAAATCGGCAGAAAGTAATATGTGAAAGCCTAGGCATTAAAGAAATAGGAAAAAATGTTTCAAAAATCAATTTTTTTTCTTTATCAAAGCAAAATTGTTCCTAAAACACCAAAAGAAAATAAAAAAGCGCGACACTGATGACGATATGTTGTTGTTACAGGAAGAAAGTAAAAATTGGAAAGGACCAATAAATTCTTTATAGGTTTGTGTCCTGCTGTCGGTAGTAAACCATGCGAATACCTGCATGACAGTCCTGTCAAAGGAAGAAGCATTTGGGGAGAATATGCGCATGAAAGAACCGAATGAAGCGATTAACTGAATTGAATCGTAAACATTTTTATATCAAAAATTCACAAAACAAAAAAAATACTTACAATTTCACATCTTCAAAAGAAAAACATAAAAAACATGCTCGTCACTTACCTGAAACAAAATAAAACAAAATTAATATTTTAAATCTTACCAAAGTATTTAAAGAAAAGAAGTTAAATGAATAGTAATGAACAATGAAAATTGTCACCAAGTGTTTTTCTTTTGCCTGTGTCATCATGCACTTCGGCTGGCAAAGCAGACGCAGAGTGCAGGCGCGAACTCAATTTGCAAGTAATTACGTGTCATGTCGCCTTCGAGCACATTCTATGCACAACACAACATAGGAAAAGAATAAGTTAACGCGATGTTGAAAGCCACTCTTCTTTTTACCAGTGCAGCGCAGCCTACTTGACATTTTCGGAGAACACGAACGAAGACAAAACACAGAGGACAAGATAATGCAAATGCAATAACAGCAGTGTCTGTATTTTCATCGGGGGTGTTTTTATTTACACAATTTTCAATTCAAGAAAAAATAAAAATAAAGTGTGATTGAATTTTTCGCAAAAGAAAAATTAATAAAACGTTTTATTTTTATTTTTTAAGTTTTGATTAAAAGTGAAAATCTAACCTAGGGTAGACTTATACTATGAGAAAAAGGGTAGTTCCTCGTTGGCGTGTTTCACGAAAGACGACCGACAGTCATTCAGTCAGTCATCCATGATGGAAGAAAACGAAGGTAAGAAATGAACGCAAATAATCGTACGAGTGTAGTGAAAGAAGTAAAAGTAAGTGAAATGCGTTCCGTGCGCCCTTGCGGTGGCGCAGCGTTCAATTAAAAAGCGATAAATCACCCCTGTCATATGCCATATCATAGTGAAACTCACCCTTCATCTACCCTTATATATTTTATGCTCAAAAAACAAACAAAAAAACAATCTTTTAGATTTTGAGCGTAATTAATACCAAACTATGATTCTCCACACTTCATAAATATACCAAAACCCAAA